AATTCCAGCAAGCCTTCTGGAATAGTCACAATTCACATACTGAGAAATAGTGTGTCAGGCCTACAACTGTCAAATAAATAGCATCTAATGAAATGGAAGATTTAAGATTTGTTTTGATTTCTAAGAGTGGTAGCATTTATTTTCCTCACTGCTAGGCTTTGCTGTATAATAATAGTAAATACAAATCTTATTCCAAGATCATCTGAAACTATCAAGAAGTAGCTTAATGCCCATAGCAAGGGTTCTGAGTCAAGCAGGAAGTAAAAAAGAAACTGTCATTAACACTGAGGAAGTTATTCCTTCTGGTTTCTTTCAGAAAAGGACTTGGGAGTCCTGGCAAACATCAAGCTCAAGCTAAGACAGTAATGCACCCCAGGCAACAGTGAAATTCTGCAGCTTTCTGGGCTGCACCCAGGAAAAGCATTGCCAGCAGGTGGAGGGAAATGCTTCTACTCAGCACTGAGAGAACATCTGGAGTCCTGGGTTCCTCAGTTCAGAAGAAAGACATGCTGTAGATCAGCAACAGGCTACAAGAATGGTAAAGGATTGGAGCATCTGTCATAAAAGGATGCCTGAGAGAGGTGAAACTGCCCAGCCTCCAGAAAAGATGTTTCAACAGGGATTTTATAAATCTGTATAAATACTTTATGAGAACAAGTAGAGAGGATGGCACCATACTGCATCTTCAGCTGCATCCAATGAAAGGAGAAGAGGCAATGGGTGCAAACTGAAATACAGGAAATTTCATTTAAAATTAAGAAAAACCTTTTCTCTGCAGGAGTACACAGGTACAATTTGCTCAGAGATTAAGGAGTCTTCATCCTTATGATATTCAAAACCCAGCTGGACATGGCTCTGAGCAACCCACTGTAGTTAACACTGCTTTGAGCAGAGGATCAAACTAATAGATCTCCAGAGGCACCTTTCAATTACAACTACTCTGCTATTCTATTGTTCTTTACTCTGTAAATCTGAACTCATTTTTTTAACCTTCCATGTCTGAAAGCAAATCTGTACTCCTATTTGCAGAAAAGCTACTCCGTAGCTTTTCCTCCAAACTCCTTAACATCTGACTGGCTCTTTCACTATTAGGTATGATTTAAAGAGGGTAGAGTTTTTTTAAACAGCTTTTTCAAAAGAAAAAATATATGTATTTGAAAACTTCAGCAACTACAGGAGAAGGATAAAAAGGTCATTTAATGGTCTGTCATTTGGATGTATGTCAAAAACCCTACCAAAACAGAATCCAAAAACTCATTAACCCCAAGCTATATGAGAGACATACGTTTTTAGCAGAAAAGAAGCAGAGCTAGGAAAGGCCAACTAGATAGCAGCAAACTTATTCTAAAACCCACTGGTTTAAAGAGAGAAGAGAAGGTACAAAGTTCTGTTTTGTCATCCTGAAGGCCTCCTTTAGAGCCTGGCCAAATTTTATCTTCAAACTGAAGAGGAGTATTTTGAGATCTGGGCTTTTCCATGATGGAGGAACACTTTAAGAAAATAGTCCTTTCCCTGGTATTACACACCATGATATTCCATCTTTGTGTCAACTCTGCTTCTTACTCAACAGATTAGAACTAATTACATCCAAGATCAACATATGCCATTTGATCATAAGCCACAAAGGGCTCAGTTTTGTCAAGGTTTAAATCAAGGCTGAGGAGCAGATGTTCTGAAGCTTTGGAAGCATGGTGTACATAGAGCCTGCATTCTGATTCAGTCAAAATTTATTAGACCTTTCAAACAACCTCTTTCTATTCCTGTGGATACACTTACAGAAACATTTGTCTCCTTCTTTCCCCGACAGAATAACAAGGTCATGGCAAACTAACATTCCTCAAGGTTCTTCAAGTGGTTGTGCCATATTGGCTTGGAATAAAAAAAAATACTGAAAAGTTTACTGACAGGAGTTCAGCAGCCTTGGCAGAGGGGCACTGTGTAAGAAAAGAAGTCAACCAGTATATTTGTAATTGTAATATTAAAGACATAGCAGAGCTTTAAAGTAAAAGATAATCTGTTGTTTGAAAAGAAATGCTCCTCCTGAATCACTAGGAAGATGCTGCTCTGAAAACTATTACCTCCCCATCTATTACTGAGTCTTCATAGCAATATTCAGCTGATGCCAGCAATCCCATCTTAAGGGACTCCCTTCATTCCACTGAAGGAAAGAATCTTTCTGAGGATTTCTGAGGTCTGTGTGAGGAGCTACTGTTCCTCAACCTTCCTCATGGAGAGGTGTGAGGATATCACTACAAAGTAAGCAGGATTGTTTCCTTTCCTTTTTACCCCTTTGCACAGAAGAAATGTGAACAAAGCCATGTAATTTCTTTTTACGCTTCATTTTTTTCAGCCCTCTAAACTAAATAGCAAAGATATATAATGAAACCTTGATTAATTCAGTGCTACTTGGACTGATGCACACAAAACTGAAAAGACCTGACCAAATGAATTTCTGATAAATAATTCAATCAGGTGTAGACAAACAAGTGTCATTTCTTCTTGTGAGTTACACTGTGCAAGGAGTCACAGTTCTTCCTCAGCACTCGAGTGTCCATAATTAGTATGGCCCTACAGTGAGGACTATTACTTTGCATTAAAATTTCCATCATTTGAGAATTAAAACTGCAGATTATTTTGTGAAGCAAAGCCGAGATAAATCTTATTATATAGAACAAATCTTTATAAGTATTGACAAATGTAATAAAATTTCAAACACGAAAGCAAAAGGGGAATTTTTACATTTCAATTCCATCATTGTAAAGGAAACTCTTTCATGCTTAAAATTCAAACTCAGTGTGTCAAGTAATTTCACTGTTACAGACTTGAATTACCTGCACTGGCCTGAGGGCATTATCACTCTCTGAGAAAAATTGTACTTTAATATTGCTACGATTTTCCCAAGTAATTTTTATGCAGAAGCTGGGATGAATTTGAAACATCCATTTCAAGATTAAAGTGACAACATTTGGTTACTGCAGAGAACCATGTAATTGAGAATTGGTCTTAAGGATATGCCCAAAATTAAATACGGGAGTGAGAAAATAATATTAAAAAAAGGTATCAGTGTTTTGGGTTTTTTGTTTAACTTCTGGGATGCAGATATTAAATTGGGTTATAAAATACCAATAACCCCTTACTTCAAAAATGTTTAGATGCATAAACCATATCAAATGCTTATGCTATACAGAAAGACCATGAAATTGCTGGTCACTGTCCTAGCCAATTTAATAATTTCTATCATATGCAGGAGGGAGGATTATCTTCTCACTTACTTTTAATGGATCTATTTTTTGGAAGCACTGAATTATCAATCTTTTTTATGGGTTATCTGCTGCCTGATCATTTGTTACTTTACATTAAATTGGAAACTGGACCCAGAGCATGCTCTGAATGGGTTTAACTCCACAACAGAGCCTGACATGAACTAGAGAGGGCAAGAATTTAAAGTACAAATAAATAGCCTTACCCAAAACAGTTTATCAAAACCCTTTTAGCAGCATGCTTTCCAGATGAAACCCTAGATGAATCTGTTATTTGTAGCTTTGAAGAAATGTGAAGATAGAAAATTTGAGGCTTTTATATGATGTATTTCAAAAGTAAACAGGGTAATGGGGAATACCCAATGTTTCTATTATTTAAATAAAGTTTTTTGTGGGAAACTAAAGAAAAAATTTTACTATGTTGAAAAGCAGTAGTACTTATCGAAGAAAGCATTCACAGATTCTTTTCTTGAAATTTTCCCAGATTTTCTCTCCTATTATTTGCATTAAGGCAAGATCACATCATTTCAAAATCAACATAAAGCTGGTGCCTTGACTCATTACCTTCAAGACAACAATTTGCCTCAGAATAATAGAATGATTTAAGTTAGAAAAGACCTTTAAGATCATCATGCCATTAACCCAGCATTGCCAGGTCCATCACTAAACCCTGTCTCTAAAATCCCATCTACACATCTTAAATGCCTTCAGGGATGGTGACTCAACCATTTCCCTGGACTTTAACTCTCTTTGAATCTCACTGCCAGGTTTTTCCTTACAGCAAAACATCCATTAACTAAGTATAACAAGGATTAGGAGTAATTGTTGAGCATTGAGGAGATTTACTTTGTAAATGATAGAGGCTAGGGGAACACATGAGACCTTTTAATAATTGAAGCAGGGTTAATGCAGGTTCACATATGTACTTCTCTTATGTCATCCTCAAATTCTTCTTCTGTGAGTCAATGAAGGTGGAAAAGAAGCAGCAACTACTTTGATGAATGAAATATAAATTAGGCATGACAGAATTTAATTTTTTTCCTCTTATACCTTCACCGGAGTTGCCTAAAATTCAGTCTTGTTGGTAAAGAACAGCATTAAATAAAAAAAAAAAAAGAAAAAAATTAAAAAAAAAAACAAAACCAAAATGAAATCCCCCCTCCCCATTTTAGAATTAAAGGCCTCCTTCCAGAACTTACTTACCCTGCTTTTTTAACAGGGTGAAAAGATCCACCAATGACCTTCTAGAAACATGTAAACCAGTAAAACTCAGTACCTGGGGAAATATACCACATAACCAAGGCATAGTGTGCTCTTCCTCACTGCAGCAAGAGAAATTGAAAGCTACAAGAAGTAACTGTGATGTAAGTGGGCATTGTGGTTCACTGCCTGGATGGTGGTGAATTACCTTCTTGTTTTCTATTGCTTTGCTTGCATGTATGGCTTTTCCTTTACCTATCAAACTGTCTTTGCCTCAACTCACAAACTTTCTCACTTTTACCCTTGTGATTCTCTTCCCCATCCCAGCACGTGAAAGTGACTGAGCTGCTTGTGGGGCTTGGTTGTCAACTGTAGTCAAACCATGACACAACCAAACTATTATACACAGGATGCAATAGAAATCAGTGACAAAATTTAGAACTGCAACAATGTATCAGAACATAAGCTAAAATTAAGTGCATTTTCTACTTTAGCTAAATTATTTCAAAGTTTTGATTTTTCCGCTAAGTTTTTACTTACCTGACTGAAGATTCATCATTGTTCTTCCTCCTCTGCTACTGAAATGCAGCCCTGATGATTCTATCACTAAGTGGCTGAGTTGGTCTGAAGTTATCTCCTAGGATTCCATCAGAGCCCTCTAAAAGTTCAGCACCTTTAACATGAGTCCTCAGTCTTCGAAATTCCTCTATCTGAAAGACAGAAAAGCAGAAATGAAGAAGCTGAGACACATTCTTCACCATGGGACCAATAATCAAAACCAGCCTTGTCCAGCCAATTCTGCAGCTTTGAACACTGGAGTGCTCAGGTACCATATAGTAAGGCCAATATACATTAATAACATTTTTAAATAGTTATCAGCACTGTCAAAACATTTGAGATATAGAGAAAAAATAAGAACTCTTATGCACATGGTTTGGTAAACTTATCCTTTGCCTTTTCACGACTTCTTTTAGGATCTATAACCTTGGCTATTGCAGATTACATCCTATGAATCAGCCTTACTGTTGTGTCTTTAGAGCAGTAATTCTGGTCTTCTTCAAAGAAGTGCATTTCAGGAATAACTTGCTTGACTATAAATTGCTTTGAAATTCTCCTAGTGATTTACTTACTGCCTGAAACTGTTGCTATCTTCTAAACCAGAAGAATACTGAACAGATTCTTAGCTTCAGAGGATGCCTGTTGACATTTTATATGGAAAAATACAGTTTCTGTGATCAAAACAAAATGCTGCTTCAAAAGATCCGTAGGTGTAGATAGTCAGGAAGTCAAATACAGTAAAAAATAAATATACAAGACTTCAGTTCAGCCAAAACAAATATGTTTCTTGCTTATAGACTCTTCTTAGATTTTTCTAAATCTAATCTGGTGTAAGGAAGAATATGAGCAGCTTCCATCTCCATCCTTGGTATTAGCATCAAGTGCTGCATGATAAAACACTTTACCTTACTGTTCACCACTGCTGTTTTTAGGAGTCTTGTATTTTAAATAGTTACAACTACTAGAAAAAACGTTTTTCTTTGGCATATTCACAAGCTGTCTTAGCTGGATACAGCAAATGTACTTGATGGCTGATTCCCCTAGCCTGAGCTTTTGTACTTGTACTGACCCTGTGATGCTTCACTATGCAGGTCACCCCTAACTTGAAACTGAAGATACACAGAAAGTAAAAGGAGCCTGGAGTATACAATCATTTTAACATCTAAGACATTATAGAGTTAATTTCTCCATGAAAAACACCCTAGGAAATATTACAGGGAGAATGTAAGCATGGTTCTAGAATTAAATTAAATGAGGTACTAAACAGCAGGTAATGGCATTTTTATTCTTATCCTGCCTACAGAGAATACTTTCTTACTGCAACCTGGAACATTACTGCCCTCTTTGTTTTCCACTCTACAGCAGTACTGACACAGACTTATTTACTTGATTTAGATGCTAGCTCTTCTCTGCTTCATTTTCCTCAAAAAAACAGTGCACTTGGAAATCAACACTCAGCTTCTGGCAGCTGAGATACAAGGCAACAGCTTAGACTGCAAAAATGAAAAAGCTCCTTGAAGGTGCTTTTAGAGGCAGAATCCTGTTATGGAAGATTGTTGTTGTTTTGTTTACTTAAAGCAAACTGAAAGCAAACCCACTACCAGCTTGGAATTGAAAAAGTCTTCAGAACTCAAGGGCTGGTAAATCACTGAGGGAGTTTTGTAAAAGCATCCTCTTTCACCATCTGAATCAACTCTGGAAAGTCTGAGATAATTGCAGTTTAGGAAGGAGCACTTTACAAAAACGTGGCTTTTGTTTGATCTTTTGAGAATGAGATACTTCAAACAAACATAGATGAAGGAAAGGGAAGAGCAGACTCTGCAAAGCTGGCATTTGTGAGTTGTCTCCTACTGTAACTACAAATGCCCCATCCCAGTTCCTGCAGTGAAATCTTTCTCCAGGAGGTACTCTTCACAAAGCAGCTTCCAGTTTCTTCAGTCAGGAGAGTAGAACTGACCTGATCTCTGTGCCTGCTCTTTAGTCTTTAGGGAAGTCAAGAATTGTAGCTCTGCTCCAAGGGGGAATTTCTTCTGAGATCAACAGCCCCCTTGTTTAGTTGTTCCTTCCACGGTTCAGACTGCCATGACAGAGACCCTGTACACACTTGGTGATTTTCTCATGAGAAGTACTTCTGTCAGAAAAGGACACCAGCTTTGCCAACACTACTTTCCCTATTAAATTTCCATGTGGCAAGGTAATAGGTGTGCCCTGCTCATCCAGTTTCATCGCTTACCATCTCCTCCCAACCCCTCCTAAATCATTGCTGTGAAATACACCCTGAAGGACTGCCAGTGAAACAGATGTTTTAGAAGCATATGGCTAAGCACCCTTAGATATTCACATACTTTTACCAGGAATAGCCACTTTAAAAAGCTCTTCTCCTGCCCAGAAGACTTTAAGGATGACCTAAACCTGCTCACACTGAAATTTAGGATTAAGTACTAACCATCTTAGAGGCAAATCTACAATGTGAACAGTTGCATTTCTACTGAGTAAAACCATTCATGCTCACACTGTGTAGAATTTTTTTACCACTCCTTGTATTTAGATCCTGAACACTGCATTCTTCTGTTTCACTTAGATATTTGCTGAAGAATAGAGCACACAAACTAAGATTTTGCATGTTTTCTATGAAGACTTCTTCAATATGAGGTATAGAAGCATTATCCTTCTGTTTTAAAATTTCACATCTCCATGACTCCTTCCAAGAACACGAACCTACTTCCCAGCACCCAGAATACCATGAAGCTCTGAGTGCTTTTTTTTACAGTTTACATAAATTTTGCACAATTTCCACTCCAGCTCCATATGCCAGTTACTATATCTGTCCTTTGGTAGTTTTTGATTCTGAATGAGGTAGACAAAAGGACTAGAGACCACACCATTGAATAAAAGACCAGTTAACTCTGACAATGAATACAGCAGAACAACAGCTCCTTCTGCATCACTGTTTAAAATCCCTACTCTGAGTGGCTCAGACAATGCACTTGTTCTGGGCTTCAGTGAACCACAAAGCACATTATTCACAAATGTCCCATTTTTTTTAAATATAGTGTAGAGAAACATGACCAAGTCTTTTTCAATTACTTCCTGCTTTTTACTGGCTTAATAGGAGTTTTCTCCCACTGAATTTCAGCAGTGTACATACATGTGCGAGGTATCTCACAAAAAGAATCAACACAGTTCATTCTGGGCTGTGCATTTCAATGAAAGTCAAGAGAGGATGACAAAAATCACAATAGGAAGACAGGAATATGCACAGAATGACACATGAAGGACTTTTTGATGGAAGTGAATTCTCATGGCAAATAAAATTACTTCCAGTGAGGACATAGCATTCCTCAGGATACCAGGAAAGTGCATCCTGATGCTGCAATCCCGAACTGCTCTTTGCTATTCATATAATCAGCACACCCAGATCTCCTTCCACTTAACATTGACTTAGATCAGTAACGTATCAACTCATCAGCTGAACTTTACTATCTGAAAATGTCTTCAGGTGAAAAAAAAAAGTTCTGTACTTTGTAATGGTCAGCCTATTATGCCTATGTCAAAATAGTTACTTCATTATTTCAAAATAACAAAATGTGAAAATATTTTATGTGTTTGACCATGAAACAGAATGGCAATTTTATTCATTTTTTGCCCTTATGACCTGCAGTTTGTTAAGCTGATCAATATTGCTGTGTTAATTGCAGAAAATTAGCATCGTCTCCGCTATATGAACTAGCTTGATCAGAGGAAAGAAATAAAACCTATTCCTTATTATATTATGTAATTCTTTATTTACTTGTTATTGACACTCGGACCTTAATTATTTCATAGCCTGAAAAATGAAAATAGCCTTGAATTTATCTCTCACTGGCTATAGCCACAGATGCTACTAGTATTTATATAAAGCACTTGACATTTCATTAGTATCCCAAAGAAGAAAGTTCTACAAGGTAATGACACATGTAAAAATAATGTATTTAAACCCATTAGAAACGCGTTTGCACTGGAATCTATGATTTAATGCTACAAGCTGGCTTAATAAAATTAAATGCCTCTACCAGCCTTCCATGGAAGATTCAAAATGGTATATCCTATACTACATCCTCTTATTTTCCATAGACAAAAGCCTTTGCATTTCTAATCTCTCCTTAATCTCTCCTGGGCAACCTGCTCTAGATGAACCTGCTTTAGCAGGGCATTTGGAATAAATGCTCTCCAGAGGTCCCTTCCAATCCCAATCATTCTGTGGTTCTGTGATTAAATGAAATCTCTCATAGGCACTCATGCCCACATGCACAAAAGAGGCCAGATATTTCACTGCAGCCAAAATGCTAATTACAATTTAAAATCTTGGAATTTTAGGCTATAGCAAAATATTCTAGAACCCACAGCATCTTAATTTGGGCATCACAGTGACCTCACAATACCTTACAATTTACCAATCCCGGAATCGTCTCCTCTCACTTGCCCCATATTTATTTTTCGTTGACATAATTATTTTATTGATGTATTTATTTTTCATTAACATCTGAAAGCAGTATCTGATGAAATACGATTTTTTTATCCCACCTTGGCAAAAGCCTTTCAAGCTCTTAATAATTATCTTTCCTGCACAACGTTAACTTTAATGTTGTGATCATAAATATCACTGAGGAAGATTTTTCTACTTGATGCTTATCTATGACTTATCCTGGCATAAGTCTGCTCCAATCCATCACTCGACTCCAGTGCCACCTCTCACCCTCATACAGTGCCAGTGGGAGGGAAAAGCTCCTCCATGACTTGCATGCCCTTCATCACTGCAATGTTTTTAGATTGGGTTTGTACCTATCAAAGAAATGCAGCAACACAAACCAGCTACCCCTCACCAAACAAAGGCCATGGTTGTGAATCTCAGCCTTTGCCCCTGGCACTATGGGTCACACTTTCCCCCAGGCACAATATTCTTTTCAGAGTCTCACCCCTTCACACAACACTCCAACATCCTGCCTTCTAGTGGTAAATTAGTACATAGTAATAGTAAGTAGAGTTGCATTTATCTTCTTGATTTCTCTTTTGTTCACCCTCTTGCTGTCTCCCACTACATGTGGATAGTTTAAATTTGGCTCTCCTCTGTGCACTGACTGGATTAAAAGAGAATAGAGACTACAAAATCTTCAACTAGCAATATCATACTATGTCTCAGTGTAATAGCTGTGGACTTTGTAGATCTGATTAAGTCCCCTTATTTATCAATATCATATCTGGACAATTAGTTGACAAGTTACAAAATGTCTTTACAAGTTATTCTGAATCTAATAATGCTAACAGAATGCTGTTTACTCAGTAGTAAGTAATGAATTTACTCAGTAGTAAGCAGCCACAAGTCTTATATTTTCATAAATAAATAACAGATTCATGATGGGATGCATTTAATTTGCAGCTACCAGACAACTAACTTACTGGGAGCTATTGCTTTTATCCTATGATTAGATCCAGTATTCAGTTTCCATAAAATGCTGCCAATTTTAAATTGTTAAAGATGTTAAAATATTGTGCTGGCACCACTAGCAAAATTTTAAATTATTAAAGCTGAAATAATATAAATCCAAAATTATCACCTTTTATACTTTTTTCACATACTTCAGAGCAGGCAATGAAAATGAATGCATTCAGCTTCAGGGATTCTAGGTAGTTTCACTTAAATTAAAACGCACATTCCTTCAGATGAGATTCACAGACTGCAGGAGAATATTCATCAGGAGTTTTCTTTGTTTTTACTGGGATTATTTGTAGACAGATTTGAAAAGTTTTACATAGAAAGGCTCTCAACTGTTAGATTCAATTTAAGAAAAAAAACCCAAACATTTTAAAATACATGTGTGAAATCAAATTTAAATAGGTAGTTTCCATTTGACATTAGTTACAAAACTGAATTTAAAAAGAGCCAGATAAATTAAATATAGTTCAATGCAATCTAGCCAGTCTGTACTACATTAACGTTTTTCATTCTCCAGGATGTAGTGCCTCCCTGCTCTTTTTTATTCCTTTAACATTAAAAAGCAGTGATATCTGAAAACTTACAATTACAAAGAATTTAATTTCTTTTGCCCACTGAGTTCCTTTCTTTTCGTTCACTTAAACATAAGCATTATTTTAAATGCAGATGATAAATGATAACAAGGTTTTTCATCTCTGACCTTTGCATTGCTTTCAGTGACTCAATAGGTTTAACCTTTACTTGAAAAGCCATGTACTGATCTAATGGGATCTTTAAGGAGAACAGACATAACACTCTGATATATACATTTGCACGCTATAACCTTTAGCTCATAACCATATTCCAAGGTCACTCTTTAAGCACAGCTGTTACCTGCACTTGGGACACAGTCAAAGGATAGCGAAATAATATCCAGGTGACACCTTCACTGCAGGGTGGAATGGTTAGAGAGCCCTCATACACCCAGTAGTCACGCAGAAGAGGATCTGAAATCAAAGGAAACAAGGAATTTTAATGACATTAAGGAAGTTAATGGTGTCTTTCAGTTATGACAGCTTGTGACAGCTGTGGGCTCACTTGCATGATGAAGTTAGTAAGCAGAAGCTAAGGTGTGAATTTATAACCTGCCAAGCATTGCCCACTACTTCCTCATATGAATGTATGTGAGCTTGTGGTCATTATATTACAGTAAAGTACCCTGCAGAGGAGCATTGTAGATGTGAAAATGCCACTTTGTAGATGTGAGAAATAACAAGTGCACAGCTCTTTAAATTAATACAACAAATAAGCAATGTTATGGGAATAAAAAAATCCCTGTTAATGTCAAAAGCTAAAAGAGACGCTGAGTTTTGAGGAAGAGGGTCTGTGGTGGCTGAATTTTACTAACTTCTACATTTAGGATTTGTCTCAAGAATTAATTTTATTTCATTTCCAAGAAAAAAAAATGAATTAAAATTCAGCTGAAGAAAAGCTTTTTACTTTGCAGTTCTGGTGACATATTTTTTGAGATGCACTGGTGCTTCCTACCTTTGGAAAAGTGAGTTGAATTTCGGAGGGGAAAAAACATCAAGGTTTGCCATATAATTACATGGTTTTTTAAGTTTATATATTTATTAATAGGTTTATAAATAACTGTTAGAATAAAGAGTTGTCACTGAAGAAAATGGACAATATTTTGTCCATGCGGAGTTTTAACTCTACATACAATACATCTGACTTTAATTATTTTAATTTTAATTTCTCATAGATTCCAATCACACTGCACTTCATAAGTGAGACAACACAGGGCTTTCCTTTGCTGCTGTAGGCCATACAGCCTAAGGAGTACAGAGAGGAAACTGACTGTAAATGAGGGAACAAGAAACAAACCTAGAGAGAAACTGGAGACAAAGTGTGGTTAATCATGGCATAGAGAGCCAGGGGGAAGGCTGTGACTAGCTTGACAGAATGGGAGACTGGAAACAAATAAACCTGCTTGGCTGAACTAACCTGTTACTGTCATTTCACTTACTAGCTCAGAGGAATATCAGTAGAATTAAATCTTGCTAATGAAGCCTGTGATTGTCAGTAAATAGATTTTGTTTTGTTGATGTAATTTCCTTTCTCACCTAGGAAATTATGTAGCAAATCCATTAACAGCAAGTTGCATTATCAAACACTCAAAAGTTAAGAACTGCAAGAATTAATTCAGCCCATCCTGTGCATGCATCATGATATGGTGTTGTTACATGATCATGTGTGTCTTTTCTAGAGAACATTTCAAACCTTTCATTGTTTACTTGCAAAGACAAATGACTTTGTTTTGAAAAGTAATAATATTATTTAGAATTCTCAGTACAATATGAGGCACTTGGTCTTCTTTTTCCCATGCTATTGAAATCCTGCTTGCTAGAATATTTTCTCATTTTTCATATTTCTAATACACTCATTTCTCCAGTGCCTGAGAGTTTAAGTGAATTAATTTATCCTCCCATACCCTTGAGTGGTGAGGAAGGATAGATTATCCCCTCACTTTAAAGCTGGGGAACTGAGGCAGAAAAGATGAGGTCAAATGCATCTATTCATTTGAAGTGTTCAGTATGACATGCTTAGAACCTGATTTCTCAGAGTATTTAACTTTCTATAGCACATAATACAGTCAGAGCACTGCTCCCATTGACTTCTCTTGGAGGTGTAAGCACTCAGCACTTCTGCAAATCAGACCCCATGATCTCAAGTCGGGCACCTAGAAAATGAGGAACACATAGTTAGAGATGACTTGTGAAAATTTCTGTTTATGTGACTTGATCAGCATCAAACAGGAACTGTGAGGCAGGGGTCCTGCAAAAAATAACTTATGGTCATGCAATCAGGTGATGTCTCATAATGGGTATGCATGAGAGGCACAGGCTGCCTTAATTCCTGCAATTCCTAATTGTTGAGCACTTGATTTTAAAACCTAGACAATATTCTTTTGATATCATTAATATAGTTTAATATAGACCTGGGCTACTTTGAAAAATTAAAAATCTTGCCACTATGACTGAGTTTAGTTCAAATGGATTCCTTGCAGAAACATTTCTTTTTAGAAATGTTTGGGTTTTTTTAAATCATATTTCTTACTGTTACACTTTAACTTTTAGCTATGTAAGTTTGAATTTGTCTCCCTTTGTCACTTCTTTTATTATACAACTGTCATTGCATAATGGCATTGTCTTTTGCCAAAAAAAACCTACTTTGTTAAGTGGGCAGCCTTACACTTCCTATTTTATGACCAAGTAGAGAAAGGAATACAGCTGTCTCTCTAGCTGAGTTGGTAAATTCTCAACAAAGCTAGCCACAGTGCTGTCAGCATTGCACAGACTACAGTATCACATCCCACTCACACAACAAAGGTGCAGATTTACAGTAAATTCCAATGGGACTTCACCACTATCCCTGTTAGGATGTGCATTACCAAAATGCATTACCACCTTATGGGACACACTCAGGCTTGCAGTTTAGGCGAGGCTTTAGATTAAGATTGTCTCAGCCTCTGCAATCAGCTACTAATCCACACATGCGAAAGTAAGCAAAGGCACCTACCTGGCAATAAAGAGTTGGGATTAAAACAGGGTATTGTTTTGGACTTTCCCTGAAAAAATGAATACAAATCAATCTCATCTCTAGCTTCTAATAAAAATGCTGATGAATGACAAGGTAAAACACATTCTGTGTTCTTACAGAATTAAACCCTGAATTCCTGTGGAAAACAACCTCATTAAGAGACCCCATTTAATCATCATTGCATTTGTTCTTGCAACTACACAAACACATACTTTTATTCTATTTTTTTATTTCATTTTTAAGCTTATCCCAGCAATTTGGTAACTTTCTGCCTTTAGCACCTGGACTTCTTTTAGGTCCCAGACTTGAAATTCTCTACATGAAATTCAGGGGTTTCACACAAAAAGAGTTAAAAAAACAAAGGGCAAAGTGTTATCCACATCAGTTAAGTAATGCTGGTTCCATATATTTAATACATGAAAACGTTATGTATGCCAAAGTCTGTTTGATGCTGACCCTTTGAAAGTCATCATTACAACAGTCACACAATGGTGAGGCCTTTCATGACCTTCCTCTGCTTGGCTGTTGTCTCAGTAATGAAATTAGAGTTCCATACGCTATTCTCAGTTCTCTGACACTTTCATAAATAAAGAGTTTACAATAATAAACATAATGACTAAAGTTTACCATATGTTATTTGACTAAAAGATTTCAATTAGTTTCTAATTTTTCCGCACTTCAGCATCTGCTGTAGTGAATGGTAATCTCTTCAGACCAATAAAAAAACATGCCATCAATACCTCTCAAACTCCTTTTAAAATCAAAGGTATGTATGATTATTTCTATGTTACAGATCATGAAGCAAAGAGATGGAAGTAACTTGCCCAAGGTCATTAAAGATAGTGTCAACATTTTGGACAGCACTCAAATCTCCTCAGCCCTACTAGGATTGCTATCTGTCCTTCAGGACCCCCCACACATAGTCCACTCAACAAGCTGGCATTGTGTTTTTGTTAATATCCCTGCAAGTTAACATGGGTGCTCAGTTCATCTGTTCTTTTCCTCCACAAATTAAAACCAGGTAAGTTTGGAGATATGGCTGCTGGTGTTCACTAAGCATGTTGCAGTGCTTGCACTCACACTGACTCCATGAAAATCACTCAAAAGGTAGGACTGGCAAACAGTCATTGGTCTAGATCAAACTTTCTGGCCACCAGAAAAAGAAGTACAAAAAATATATATTAGCTGAATAATATTATCGGAATAAAATGCTGAGATTTTCATGCTGACCACCAAATGATGGCCTTTACCTGTGGTTTCACTACAGATATATCTGAAATCTTTCTCTTGGCTCTGTACAGACTTTTTGCTCACTGCCTCTCTGGTCAATAAAGGAAGCATTGCTTCAGACAATGCCTTACCTTGTACTGGATGTCCTGAAGAATTTCAGTAACAGCCTTTAGGCCCACATGCTCTTTTCCTATCTGAAATACAGCAAGCAAAGGTGACTTTCAGTATCTTGGTATTTCAGAAACTGTGAGGCAAAACACAGGTCAACCAGAACAGTAAGTACTATAGCTGTTTTTAGTTTAGCTACACAACTTGTGTTAATCAAATACACTGATACATGACAACTCCAAAAAATTAAATCATTATAACATCACCAGCCAAAAGTAAAAAGGGCTTAAAAAACTTTAAAGCAGAGACAGAAACTCACAGAACAAGAGTCATAATTAAGTTTGGTAGGTTTAGATTAACCCTGTTTTGCAGCACCTATTCTACACGGAGTCAAAACTGTGCAGTATTGTGGCATATAGATGCCAAGGATACAGTTTGTCCTCGCCCGTTTTTGCCAGAAAAGTACACAGAAAGGAACAGAGTGAACAAACATAACAGACACTTCTTGAATTTGTTCCCATAGTGTTGCAAATCTGGCCCAAGGTATTTCTGAAGCTCAGAGGAGTTTTTTCCTGCCTGCAGAGTGCAGAACAGCAGATTCCCTCTCTCACAGCACCTCTGGGATCCTGCCAGGGAAAGCCAGGCTCCCAGCAGGCTGCAGCACTGCCTCTGCTAAAAGCCTGTAAGGCACAGAAGATGGGGCTCTAAAGAAACACATCGAGATAAGAGATTCTAATTTTATATGGACGTTGCTCACTCTGCACACTAAACTCAGCTGCTTCTGACTCAAATCACCCATTCCAGGATCGTAGTTTTATCTTCAGAACAAAATCAGAAGAGGCAGAATGGACTTCCACTTGATTTCTTTGCCAACATGTACAAATACAAGGTGAGGAAACAAGTCAGCATGAGAGAGAATAGAACTAGACCCTGAAAATTTTGTTTGTTATTTTCTTGGAATAGAATGACACAGTAGCCACTGGAAGGAAACAACTGAATGTCAACAAAAGGTACTTTGTTATTTCTAGGAATTCAAGAGCATTTTCTTTTGTTTCAGAATGGAATTCCAATTTCAAACCTTCAAAGCGCATAAAATATATTGAAGTCACTTCAAAGATGTTGCTTCTAAATTAATAATCCCCAAGGGCTGTCACTTAGATATTTTCACTGACCTTAAAATAATGTATTTTGAGAACTGTGGTACAAAATTATTTTTCCATGCCTTTACCAAGAAAAAAATGGTCACCAAATTTCCTCTCCCTGTTTTCCTATCCCTTTAATAAGCAGCCTAAATATTATTTTTCCTTGGTCAATTGCAAATATATGATGCCTTTCTTGGCTAATGAAAAAGCTTTCTGGAATGCTTAAGCACATTGATGTGGGTGAGAGACCTGAAATGGAAAATGTATCATTGAAGTTTCAAATTTATTTAAGAACTTATATATAACTTTCTAACTGACTCGAAGGTTACCTCTGCTGGAATGAGAAGGTGACTTACACAAGCAATTATCACACAGCCCTCTAGGACACAAAGCTGAAGCTTTCTAACTTCCATTTTTAGCAGTTCTATCTGAGTGTTGAGGCAGTAATCAATGTACCTTTAAATTCAGAGGTAAAGCTCAAAGGCACTCATAAACTCGTTATGAAATACGACAAATTAATAATACCACTGTGAAAGAAAATCCATTTGATCTAAGCATGAACTCTAAACCTCTTCCTCCAAACCCATTTAAATAAAACAGTTTGCCATTTCTCATGAGGAAGATGAGAATCTGGTGTTTGAGGACTAAAACTGAAAATCTTTATATGGTGCAGACCTTGAAAAACCTTCAACAACAATTAAATTACAATGCTAACTTCCCAGATTTCATTACACCTTGTCCCCAGGAAGCTTTAAGCCTCCTCATTCTAGGCTTTTCTGAGGGTCTCTGTAAAGTCTTGTTAACACTCTCATTCTCTGAAAAAGTAATATGACCCCACCTTGCATTTGTCCTGTGTGAAGAAACACACTTGTCCCTGTGCTCAGGAAAGCACAAACCTACTACCAGTTTTCAGCAGGGCCAATGGGTTTGTAGGCCTTTTTTTCAATCTTTCTTCCTCTCCTCTGTCTATTTCCTCGACCCCTGAGCAGCAGACCCAGCCAGAAATTAAGAGAAATACATCCTAGAGATAGTGAAGCACTTGTCCCTCCTGATAGCCCTCATTCTGCCCTCAGAGAAATTAAGATTGGATGTATACTTATAGTCAGAGCCATGGAAAGATGCCTAACTATGTATTAGCCCTTCTTTAACTAGCATACTTCCAATATCCTGTTTAAACAAGAATTCATTGCTTGGCACACATATAGAAGACATGACTGAAAAATATCTTTCAAATACGATATCAGCAGTCATATATTGTTTTCTATTATCAAATCATTAAAAATTAAATAACATGGAAAGGTCCTCATTATCCTCAGACAAATGACAGTGCATAGTAACAAGTGTAACACAGGAAACTTACCTGCACAAACAAAGCAATAATAGCTATGCCGTGCTTCTTCCCTACTGCCTCATCAATGCTGCTGTACAGTGTGGAGTTCCAGTGCATTAGATGAAGCTAAAACAAAGCAGTGCAAAGAGAGTGATAGAGAAATATGTTTTGTAGTTAAAAACACCAGCAATTTACATCAATTAACAAAGCCTCAGCATGTTGCATGCACATGCATGACTACACATATGTGCATGCTCACAGCTGTGCATGCAGGGATAAGTGGACTTACTATTGTCAGTATCAGGAACACCAAGAAAAAAAACAGATAAATTTGCAGATAAAATTATGTACAGCCAGTTACCAAAAATGTACATCAAAGGTGTGAATGACTATAGTAATGAGGATTTAACAACTCCCTCAATCTGAATACTGAAATAATGTCACCTAATGAAATCCACCAAGAGTGCCTCTCAGCCAGCCAGCTCTCTCCCAAGATAGGAGAATTATTATGGACATAGGCTGTCCAAACACAAATTAGACTGACTGTACTATCATAATGTCACTTGTCTCACACACTACCTCCCATGACAAATCATTCAAATGTCAGTAGTAAGAGTAGAAATTATTTCAGAAAAGGTTAAACACAGAGAAAATCAAGCAGAGAAAAGTGACTTGAGGACCACCTTAGGGATAATGCTGAAAGAGAGAGATAGTAAATGCATGGATACATGGGAGCCAGTAGACACTGGATAGTAAACATAAAGTCTGTTGAGGTGAAGTGTCACAGCATAATCTGGGAAGTAGAGTTTGAGAAAAGTGCTGGAAGACAGACTAGGAGGAAGTGGGAAAGAGAGGAAAGAATGGAGGGAGAGGAAGAGAGTTGAGGGGAAGAGAAAAGTGCTGGAAAACGAGGGAGGGAGGGAGGGAGGGAGGGAGGATTCCAGGAAGGAAGGAAGGAAGGATGGAAGGATTCCAGGAAGGAAGGAAGGATTCTAGGAAGGATTCCAGGAAGGAAGGAAGGAATCTACTGAAAGGTAATATGCATTTTGAACATGAGTTTTTCCAGAAATATATGTAAATGTAATCTCTGTGCCTAGGTCTGATAAGACTGCAGAGCTTCAACATCCTAAGTACAGCTGCTTTAAAGTTTATCTGACAACTCTTAAGACTTAATTTCCATTGGAAAATCAAGATCAATGTTTTGTTCAGTCATGTGTCTAAGAAGTTAAAATGTCATTTTTTATTATTACTTATTTTATTTATTTTGTATTTATTTTTGTTTACACCTTCAGCAGAATTAGTATTTAAAACAGTGTATCTTCCTATTTTGTTTTTTATTTCTCCGCAGAAACAGCCTCTGTGAAATGCTTATTGCCCCTTACACAACAGGAGTTCATTCAGGCATCTCAGCATTTCAGAATACCAGTTCTTCAAGCAAGCATTCTCCACTTATTTACTTTCAGTATGAATTTTAGGCACTCCTCCTGATGACTGTTATTCCAAAAGTAAATACAAACTTCTACATGAACATACTGTAAATTGAATTAAATTCCAGATTATCACACAAATAATTCTATTCATTTTGATCAAAGGCATCTGCTGTGGCAAAAAAAAAAAAAAAAAAAAAAAAGAAACATTTTTCTTAGCAAATACAATAAATCATTTTTGCATGAAACACTAATGTAAATAATCTACTTGCTGAGAGCTACAAAACTTCTAGATACACAAGTGCTGCCTGTTAGAACTAAGCCAATGCATTTACTTGGTTGTGTGCATTTCATCACGTACAAAAGCTTTGTTACACATTTGATTTGCCTTTGTATTTTAAAGCCAGAGGATCAAGTAATGAGATTTCAGTCTCTGAGGCTCTGGTTGGCAGACACAGAGCCACCACCACCTGTGAAGATAAAGTCAAAGCACCGCACTTTGCAGAGACGAGCCTGGCGTTCGCACCTGCTCCCCACTAGAGGGGGATCACGGAGTCCCACAGCCTGCACCAAAATCCTGATGTTAAAAGAGAAATGTGAAAGAAGAAGGTTGTGGTGACTGCAGTGGGGATGGCAGTACCCTCAGTGATACGAGGACAGTGCTGTGTGGCACCACGACTCTCCTGGCTGGGCATGTCACAGAACTGCAGCACCGAGGACAATCCCCAAATACTGTACGGGGACAGTGACTTTGCCTGTGTGTCTACAGGTGGGTCTTGTCTAAAGCTGCTGTGGCATTCTGCACCCTACATTCCCTTGGAGGTGATGTCTAATCTGTTTGTGCTCTGACAACAGCACGTTTTCTCTAAACAGATCCAAAAGGAAAATGGTGAACCCCAGAAAAAGGAAAATGAACAAGCACTTCGAATTGTTCAAGCAATGACCTCGGTTTATCCAAAAACAGATCATCCTGTCTTAGGCTGCAGGTTCATCAGGGCACAAATTTCCCTATGATAAGGCCACATCCCCTGGAAAAACGACACCAAAACCTCTGTGTAATGCTACAAAATGTTAAGATTCTAGAATTAGTCTGTGCAGAAGTACATATATGTTGACAATCCCAGACTAGGTTCAGGTTTAGTAATCAACACTAAAGGTACTGAAAAACAGGCAATCAACAATTTCTGGTCTAAAGGTTTTTGTAACTTTGAGGGTCTGCTCCAAGATGTTTAAATTCCATACCAGGGTCCTTGAAACTAGATCCATCACCTCCTAATAGGTTGCTAATGCCCAAAGTAGAATGAACTTCTGATCTGTGTTTAAGATGCTACTGTAAAAGATGGCCATAGTTACAGTGGATTAGTGATATACTTTTTTACACAGCAGGTTGTAAACTTGCTGTCATAAACACTAAAGAAAGCAGGTAGAGAGCACTCCTAGTCCTATGACAATAGATGACTGGGGAGTACAAAAAGTGGTCAGGCTCATATGCTCTTTCTACATAGCATCCCTTATTGGTACTGATAACAACAGCACTCTGGATACACTGCAGTGTATTTGTTATGTTCCCGTGTCCTGACTCAAGGTGATATTCAAAATTAGCTATTCACAGAAAATGTTCTATCATTAGCTTGCTAATTATCACTGCTAACAGAGCTACTGTTCAATCATTTCAGATTTACAAACTGAAATTAGAAAGGCAACCTAATGAAAAAAAATTAATACCATGATACTTCCTAATAGCAGGCCAACATATCATTTGTTTTAACTTTATAAGACTGTGCATGCATACTCAAATATCTGAACACATTTGGTCATGCACTTAAAAAATGGAAGTCAAATTATTTCCTCTACAAAGCCAGAAAAATATAGCTCAAAGCAGGGCCGGGTAAGTACATGAAAAAGTCATTCAGAAAGTGAGGTAGAAAGGAAGTAAGTGTTTGTAGTAAATTGTGTGGGTTTTTTAAATCATGTTTTATCCTGCATACTTGTAGCTCTCTGGAGCTGTTCTGATTTTTGTGTGTTCTTTTTTATTTGTAATGTAACATCAGATATAAACATCAGACAACAGTTTTCAACAAAAGATGGCAACAAGTCTACAAACATTACAAAATCTGACCTCTTGAGAGTACAGACCACAAAAAACATGGCCTATAATTCTTGTTAATATTTATGGGAATCAGATGTGCATAGAGGAAAGACCTCAGTGCTTTCACAAATCTTCGAACTGTCAATATGATATAATGCCCATGCACATGGACAATGTCTTATCCATGCCTCTGTATCTGACAACTAGGAATAATCACAGAAGCTATTAATGTTTCGTAGTTTAGTAACCTTCATTTTCACATTTATTTGAGACAGCTGTTTGAAAAGTGCTCACTCACAAGGGGGGAGTCAGCTCCTGATATGAACAAAAGCATGCAGGGCTTTTTAAAAATCAGCTGCAGTGCATTGGCAGCTTCCCATTGTGTGGTTTTCATTCAGAGTACAAAGCAGCCGCACATGTCATGTGTGGGAGGAAAGGCTCTGCTCACCTTGTCAGGTAATGTTTTGATACTTGGTAGTTATGATGGTTCTACACAGCCAAAATGAGTCAGCTATGCTGTTACTGATTATCGGTGGCTGGCTTGACGTGCCAGACAGTATATTTTTACAAAATAATCAGAAAGTTATCAGAAAATCCCTGGCACTCAAAAAATCCACTTTTCTCTTGAAAAAAATCATAATTTTCGGCCTTTTAACACTACAGCTGTAAATCAAAGAATTGCAGCAGTGACTTCTTTAAAATCAGATAAACTGAAAACTCATGAAGGCAAACAGTAATAAAAAGCTGATAAAGTTGACTTGCTCTGTGAACAGCTGGAAATACTCTCCTACACAGTGAAGATTAAGAAATCATTCCAGGTAGCAGAGCAGACCTCCTGAAAAGATTATTCTGTATGGAACAAATTCTGAGAAACTTCTCAATTTTCACCCAGCCCCCACTCAACCAAAAGGCTACTGAACCCAACACTTATTTAGGAAAAGCTGACAGACATTAACAGGGGGCCTGTTTCAAAACAAGACTTTCTCTTAACTGAGTAAGGATCTGAGACTCTAGCTTTAAAATCAATAAACATTTATTGAATGAAAACCCTACCCCTTAAATCCATTCCTTTCTCTAACACAGAAATGCCTTCTATGTCAATATGAAAAGCCCTGATGGTAGATTTTCAGACAAAATTGGAGTCCTGGGATGACATTTTGTGGCAGGAATCAGAGTCACTGTATGTGACCTATCACATTCATCAGTTCTGGAAGCCGGTGTATCTCAATAAAAAACACAGTTACAAAAAGGTACAGAGCAGTCAGTGGTCCAGACTGCTCTGTGGAAATCTGCAGGGTCTAAAGCTCACTGAGAGCAAAAAGCTCTGTTAAGCTCTGTTGATGACCTTACTTTATTCCCAGCTCACACATAAAATATATAATGACAGGATAATTTATGTTGGAAGTCACCTCTGAAGTTCAACTCTTTCACAGCAGCACCAACTTCAAAGTTAGCTATTAATTCAAAGTCAGATCAGGTTGTTGAGGTCCTTGTCCAACTAAGTTTTGCGTATCTCCAATGATGGAGGTCTTACAACCTCTCTAGGTAACCTGTTCGGTGCTTGACCTCCTCCATAATTTATTTCTTCTTGTACCAAACCAGAATCTCTC